ATTTATGCGTCCTCCATCATCGCCACATGTACGGCGAGTTTCACTATTTTGTGATCTTGAAAGTTCTTTAACATTGAACGTGTCTGAAGGGCTGGCGGTCCACCCCTTGCATGTGGGCTGCGACTTCTTACATCTACCCTCCATTCAAAAATTATTTTTATAACATGCAAATCCTTCTAATCCTGTATTAATGTACTGCCTAAATACATAATGAAGTCAATGGAGTTTTCATGGGTAATCGGACATGCAAGGTGACAGTCAAGTGGCACATCCACGTGCGAGTCTGGCTCGGCGAGCTTGGCTCGTGAGCCGGGCTCGGATATATTTCACCGCGCATGCGTAGTAGACTCTGGCTCGTGCCACTCAAATTTATAACGAGTTTGGCTCAGTGGATCCCGAGCCGGACTCGTACGTGGGCGGGCCGCTTTAGAATCTGATCCGAGATCTCTGATCGTGACTTAGACGGCTCTCGAAACGTCAGTTTTGTATGGCCACCTGAAGGCCGATTGCTTACGAAGTCTTCATTGAATTTAGACACCATGAAGGTTTTAGATCATACATCAAATATTTAAATATTTCCTGCTTCCGTGAGTTGTAACAATCTATAAATGTTTCAAAACCAAGATCACTATTGTTGCCTTCTTCAATCACTTACGTTATCTGCATATGAAATCATAATTTCCACATGAAATGAACTCCAGAAATGCGACACCTAGACATGACATGACATGACGTGGAAGCAGGATGTACAAGATGGCGCATGCGCGCGGCAACACTCGATACCTTCGTTGCTGCTCTATATATAATGTGACGACATTACTAATGTTATATAATATGGTAGCTGTTGCTTATGTACACATGGTAATCTTTTCTTATGTGTTCAACTGTGTTTTTGGTACCTTTTTTGCATAAACAAAACAGACGTTATATATAAATGACATGTTTTGAGCAGGTTCTGACCTGTTGACTGTTTTATCTTACCAACCACAAGTCTGCTGCTATACGGAAATGTTAATAAAGAAACTACAAAACAATTCTGTGTTGTCATTTACAAGTATGTAGTCCAGCCACTCGAAACACGACCAATTCTCTAAAGATCTTATCAATCGATGAGATAGCAATATTTTATGATCGCTGTCTGACGTATATATACAACACATTTGACGAGTTGACTTTAGAAAAAAGTTTGCGTACAAATAAATGTAATCTCCAGCTATGAACAGAATATTCTCCGAAATGTCAATTTAAAAAAATTGGGTAATTTACTTACAATTTGACATCCCAGAGGTTATGTATGCTTCATGGGACTTGAGCGCCTGCTTTTAATTTATTCCTATTTTTTTTAAAATGTCATTAACACACATGCAGACTCCTAAGTATTTAGGAGCCAATTTTTGTTGTAATAGTTATAAACATTTTCTAGGCATTCTACTGATGTGAAATTCTTCTGAGAACTTAACTAGTCCCGGGTTCAATTCCCGGTGGTGCTCAAATTTATAACTTGTGCTGGGCAAGGCCGTGGTCTAGGCATCACGGAGTTTTCCTCCGGGGGCTTCCCCGGTTTCTCCGTGGCATCCCAACAATTACTCCGTTCACACACAGAAGAAGGCAATGGCAAACCACTTCTGGATCATCTGCCAAGAACGTATATGAACAGGTCCCAGTCCGAGAAAAGGATGGAAGGATCCTGTTCATATGGACCTGTCGTCAGACAGAACACTACAAATAAAAAATAAAAAAAACTGAAAATTATTTCATTTTGCTAATCTTCTAAACCTGGTGAACTATAATCATACAGTTACGGCAGTAATTTACAATCAAACATCGTATAACCTCAAGAATAATTACGCAAGAAAGCATGATCACTATTGCTTACATGGATTTATGTGGGATGTGATGTCTAATAATGTTGCAATATCATAAATAGGGATTTTATGGTGCCTCTCAGCATCCATTTGAATGATCAGTTTAAACCATGAAAATACTCGCTCCTGAACCACTGGATTCAAGATACCACAACAGACAACTGCTGCCATGACAGAGAACCACGGCAACTAAGAGGAGCAGTAGTTACGCGAGTAGCGTAGAGATGGCAGAAAGGTATAATCTGAGTTTTTTTTTCTTTTCTTTTATAACTAAAAATTGACTGTGGAACTTTTCCTTGAGACCCCTTCAGATATTTCAAAACGTCTTGATATAAAAACAATTTGTACTTTGAAACGAAATGACATCGATGATGAAATGAGGACAAGATTAAATTTAGAAATGCTTATTATTCAATTTTAATCTCGTGATTTCATCCAATTTCCAGAACATTATATTGGGGACAAAACATAATATAAACAAAAGTGCTTGAAAACACTTTAAAAACCATCAACTTCGTGACTTATACTGATCAACTACAGAATTTGGGTAGATAAGCGTAACAGAAAACGACCACTTGGAAGACCGAGAAGGAAATGGGAGAATATTATTAATTTTTGCCTTCGGGTCGTGTTACCAACATCGTACAACACGACTTCCCTGGTACTTAATGTGCGAAGAATATGTATAATGTTGCTATAAAATTATTACACATTAGAATGTAATCCAAAATTGAATGGTAATGAAATGGTACTGGGGAAGGTTTCACCTCGAGTTCTTCGGGGTTTTCCCCCCACTAATCATCACTCCAACTTTGCTCCAATCTCAACTATCACCGCCCCACGCAATGTGCGACAGCCCTGACCAAGCAGCGCATTATCATACCCCCGGTCTTACGTTAAAGGCTTCATCTCCAGCCTGACACCTGGCTGGTCTCTGTGTCAAGGTAGTTTAAAGTATCTTCTTATCATTTTGAGAAGCCGAAGCGTAGTTAATATATAATTTCTGCATCCACGCCTGCAGCATACTACTGACCCGCCGCACAGATGTGGTGGAGAAGTTGCCGGCCAAGCACGGCGTTCTAATTTGTCCATCAAATCCGCCGTAGAGCGTAGATAAAATTAGTCCCCTCAGCGAACAACTTGATTTCGTAACCTCAAAATGCCTGTATGAAATTTAATCATCATCGTCGTCGTCAGGGATTAGGCAATAATGCCTGTTCCGGCTACAAATTGATCTTTCCATCTTCTTCGTGGTCGAACCCGATCTCTTTTTCCGCTAGGTTTGTAACTAACGCAGCCTTAGGAAATGAAATTCAAGCCTCACAATAAATATATAACTTTACTCCATAAGAAAAATGTGTTAATCTTTCTCGAAAATTTCGTCTGGTGTCTGGTGTACACTGACCGACGTTTCAGAGAGGCTTCCTCCCTCCAGCACCAGAGCTGTGACAGTATCAGTCGGCATCTACAAGGCGCAACATCCCAGAAGACAGGACCCTGATAATGGAGGTAGTGCTATCC